TCTATACACTAACAACGAAGTAACAGAAAGAGAAATTAAGAATACAATCCCATTTACAATTGCAACATAAAGAATAAAATACCTAGGAATAAACTTAACCAAAGAGGTGAAAGATCTGTACACTGAAAACTGTAAAATATTGCTGAAAAATAATTGAAGAAGACACAAAGAAATGGAAAGATATTCCGTGCTCTTGGATTGGAAAAATTAACATAGTTAAGATGTCCATACTTCCTAAAGAAATCCATAGATTCAATGCAATCCCTATCAAAGTTCCAACAACATTTTTCATAGAAATAGAACAAAGTATCCTAAAATTTATGTGGAACAACAAAAGACCCTGAATAGCTAAAGGAATCCTGAGAGAAAAGAACAAAGCTGGAGTATCACACTCCTGGATTTCAAAATATACTACAAAGCTATAGGCACCCAAACAGCATGCTATGGGCACAAAAACAGACACATAGATCAATGGAATAGAATTGAAAGCCCAGAAATAAACCCACACAACTATGGACAGCTAATCTTCAACAAAGGAACCAAGAACATACAATGGAGAAAAGAAAATTCCTTCAACAAATGGTGTTGGGAAAACTGGACAGCCACATACAAAAAAATGAAAGTAGACCATTACCTTACACCATAAACAAAAGCTAACTCAAAATGGATTAAAGACTTGAATGTAAGACCTGAAACTATGAAACTTCTAGAAGAAAACATAGGCAGTATGCTATTCGACATCAGTCTTAGCAACATATTTTCAAGCACCATGTCTGAGTGGGCAAGAGAAACAATAGACAAAATAAACAAATGGGACTACATCAAACTAAAAAGCTTCTGCACAGCAAAGGAAACCATCAACAAAACGAAAAGACAACCTAACAATTGGGAGAAGACATTTTCAAACCATACATTTGATAAAGGGTTAATCTCCAAAATATATAAAGAACTGATGCATCTCAACAACAAAAAGACTAACAACCCAATTAACAAATGTGCAAAAGACCTGAACAAACATTTCTCTAAAGAAGATATACAGATGGCCAACAAGCACAAGAAAAGATGTTCAAGATCATAACTAACAGGGAAATGCAAATCAAAACTGCAATGAGATATCACCTCATGCCTGTCAGAATCGCTATAATTAACCAGACAAGAAACAACAAGCGTTGGAGAGGATGTGGAGAGAAGGGAACTCTCATACACTGCTGGTGGGAGTGCAAACTGGTGCAGCCACTATGGAAGACAGTATGGAGATTCCTCAAAAAATTGAGGATAGAACTACCACACGATCCAGCTATTCCACTGCTGGGTATTTATCCAAGGAACTTGAAAACACCAATGCGTAAAGATACATGCACCCCTGTGTTCATTGTAGCATTATTCACAATAGCCAAGACTTGGAAGCAACATAACTACCCATCAAGGGACAAATGGATAAAGAAGATGTGGTATATATACACAATGGAATACTACTCAGCCATAAGAAAGGATGAAATCCAGCCATTTGTAACAACATGAGTGGACATTGAGAGTATTATGCAGAGTGAAATAAGTCAGAGGGAGAAGGTCAAATACCATATGATCTCACTCATTATGTAGTAGGTAATAACAACAACAAACAAACACATAGAGAAAGAGATTGGATTGGTGGTTACTAGATGGGAAGGGGGGAGGGAGGAGGGCAAAAGGGATAATTAGGCACATGTGTGTGGTGAAAGATTGTAATTAGTATTTGGGTGGTGAACATGAGAACATGATGTAATCCATGCATAAATAGAAGTATGATGATGTACACCTGAAATTTATACAATGTCATAAACCAATGTTACTGCAATAAACAAAAAATTAAAAAAAAATATTCACTCTAGCTCTTGGTGTCAGGGGCTCCAATTCCTATAGTTTTCTCTTGTCTCCCCTCTTGTCTTTTGCCTTATGTAAGACACTATCCATCCAGCAAGACTGATAGAGAAGAATAGAGACAATATAAATGACCAATATCAGGAATGTAAAGGTGCGACACTAAAGACTGTACAGATATTTAAAAGATAACAAAAGAATATTATGAACAACTTTATGCTAGTTAGTTTGGTTACGTAGACCCAATGGATAAAATTCTTGGAATCACAACTTACCAAAACTCTCTCATAAAGAAATAGAACATCTGAATATCCCTATATCTATATAAGAAATCACTCAAAACCAAAAATCTTGCCACAATAAAATCTCTGGGAATAGACACTTGATGAATTCTATCAAACATCTAAGTAGGAAATATCAACAACCTTAAACACATTCTTTCAGAAATGGCAATATTATTGTTATACCAAAATCAGGTAAAGATCACACAAAAGGCAAACTAAAGGCCAATGTCTCTCATGAAAATAAATGTAAAAATACTTTTAAAATATTTTAAAATTAAACCTATTAATATGTAATAAATGACAATGCATGATGAAGTAGTGCATTTTATCCCAGGGTACAAGATTGATTGAACACTTAAAACTCAATCACCCTTTCCATCTCCTTTGAGAGAAATCTATTTCCCTGAGCAAGCGTATTGTTCAGGTGACTGATGCTTTCTTGAATTCATAAATCAATTTGGACAACCAGTTGAGTCTCCCACACAAGTAGCTTTTATTCTGGCCCTTAGGAATAAGCAGTTGGAGAAGGATTTTACCACTCTCCCTGTATTAGTCTGCTCAGGTTGCCAAACCAAAACACCACCGACTTGGGGGCTTAAACAACAGAAATTTATTTTCTTGCCGTTCTGGAGGGTGAAAGACCAAGATCAAAGTGTCAGAAGGATTAGTTTCTCTTGAGGCCTCTTTACTTAGCTGGTATGTGACGATTTTCTTGCTGTTCCCTCACATGGTCTTCATCTGTATGTGCACATCCCTGCTGTCTCTTTGTGTGCCAAAATCTCCTCGTTTTGGAAGGGCACCAGTCACATTGGATTAACATGCTCCCCTTATGACCTTATTTTACCTTAATTACTTCCTTAAAGATTTATTTCCAAATATAGTTACACTGGGGATTAGGCCTTCAACATATGAATTTTGGGGAACACAATTCCCTTTCCGTGTTTTTCTCTGAGACCAGAAATCTTATCACTAAGCCGTTTTCCATGGACCTAACATGGACTTGTATAAGTCTGTCTGTGGTTCCTCGGCGTGGTTATTCTTTTACTTACTCTTGTTTTTCTCCTTAGATGCTCTCTGCTTTCAGTTAGACTGATGGCTTAGGGTGTCATTTCTCCCAAAGGACTTCTACACTCTGATCTCTGGAATGGGGCTCTCTCTGACTTTCCTAATGTTCCTCTTTACCCATTACTTTAAGACCAGCTCCAAGCATCCACATATAAGCAACCTGAAACCTGTGAAGGAAAACAATGAGCCCCCAAAGGTGTGTGTGGTCATCATTCCAGATACTCTTTGCTTTTTCCTGACTTATTCCTGCTTTGGTGGATTTTTTCAGACTGTTACCAATCCAGACTTCAGTTATCCCCTCCCTGAATCTAGTTTGGATGAAAATAATCGCCTTTCTTCTCTTTAGATGACCTCAGATCATCTACCAACATTAGCTGTTTTTTGGGAACCTTTTCCAGTCATGGCCTCACCCTACTTGCAGATCCGCTGTTGGGTTACCACTGTAGTGTCTGCTGGGTGGTGCCATTTACTTGACATCTCAGGGCTTACGGGACTCTGGAGTGCATCCACTGTCCTTCACAAAAATCACTGCAGAAGAAAAGGTTTATCAGTCTTCTCTCATTCCAGAGGCTCAGTGTTCTTCCCAAATTTGCAGGGCTCAATGCTGTCATGACAAGAACACACCACTTACATGTGTTTGTCCATGCACAATGCAGGAGGTGTGAGTAATCGTGAATTTAGTCAGTGATGTAAAGTAGCTTAATCGTAGTTAAGAGGGCAACTAGTGCCAAGTTCATTTTTATATATTAGATGAAGGATTTAACGTTTGTGATATGCTTATACTTCTGTCAAGCTCCAGGTGTGTCAATCAATAACAGCTGAATGCGTCATATACTATTTAAACTAAAAGCAATTTTATAGCAGACTCATCTCCATCCAGGAGGCTCAGTCAAGTACTAGTAGAGATAGATGCCTCTTATAAGATCTCCTTCTGCCACTGTCACCCTAAGAACAGGAAAGGAGGGATAAGTGGCGGAGTGCCTGACCTTACTTCTCCTTTATTTCAGCTTCATTCAAGGTTTATGAGTCTAAAGTCCCACATGTAAGTCTGCTGGATAAAATGTTCTAATGTTGGAACTTCATTCGTCTACTGACATTTGTAACAACAACAACAACAAAACTTTAAGTATAACTTTGCCATAATTTTTCATTTTAAGTTATTGTCAGGGTGGGGGAAAATCCTGTTTCTACCATCCTTGTTTTTTTATGGCTAGACTAATAATAAAATTGACACAAGACCAGATTAAGAGGATAGAAAAACACTTTAATACATATATATCAGAGATCATAGAGAAATTATGATTAGAGAGAACAAAGCAGCCAGTGGATACATCTTTTACACAAAAAAACAAGAAATTTGTGAGGAATGATAAGACAAAGAAACTTAAATTTGAGATATGTAATTAGTGAGGAATTTAAGCAGAGTGTAGGCTTGAGGTAGTAAATTTGCAACATTCGTTTACACAGGCTTCTCGGCCCTGACTTCCCTAGGTCTGGTGATAAGGATGCAGGGAGAGCACCTTCCACATGGGAGATTCATTTCCTGCTTTCAGAGGGACAGAGACAGGAGGGTCAAATGCCCTTTTTGCTTCTCTGGGAATTTTAATTCAAAATAATCGACATGCTATTGTGGAATATTTGGGGGTATCTTGCCCTGGGACCCAACAATATTTACAGGAAGGAAACTGCTCCTTTTCTCTGACTAATGAAATCGAAAGCTCAGAACTTTGATGGGAGGAGTCTCAAAATTATTTCACAACTTCTCTCTTTCAGAGAATTGCACAGGATGAGGAAGCCACCACTAGTCAAGTTTTCGAGTGACTCTAACCAGTGACATTCATTCTTGTTACCTTTCAAAATACTTCTTTTTCTTCTGCCCTTCAGGAGACTATAACATCCTGCATTTCAGTCTCTGAGAGTTTACTGATTTGTCTTCCTACTCAACTAAAATAAGAAGTGACTTCTGCATCTCTGAAGATCTCAAGATCTGGACCACTGTGGAAGAAATTTCCTGTGAGGTGAGACTTTCGGGAATTTCTATAGGGAGTGGTGGCTACCAGGTTGGTAACCAAAAGATGACAAGGGGAGCTTGAGTTATGAAGAATTTGGGGACAAGGGCTAATTTCAATTATATTCATAAAAGTGAAAACAGCTGTATCTTGATTCCAGTCCTTTACTAACTAGGTAAATAATAGATATTTTCATTCCCCCACACCTGAGGGAGATGCATTTTGAATATAGAAGATATTAAAACATATTCCCAGGGCATCTATTGGCATGTATTATATTTAGAGAAAGGGTTTGGGTTTTTTTCCCATAGAAGATGTAGAGGAAACTTGGTGGCTGTGGTAGATACCTGGATAAAAGTCAAGAAAGGGGAACTACAAAAGTATCATAAATTAATATTAAGTAAAAAATACGTCTAGATATAAAATTGTATTGTATGGTGTTATCCTAATTTTACACACACACACACACACCACACACACAGAGCAGGAAAAATTTCAGTTCCACAAACACAGTTAAACAAAAATATGGCTTCTTTACAAATCTGTAATAGAGTTTAATTTTTATTTTCTACTCCATTCTACACCAGCTATCAGAGTTGTTATTTAAGTTTCTTTTAGCATTACTTTCTGCTTTCCTGAAAATTATTGATTTTTTTTTTTTCTGGTGGCAAGGTGTAGGGGACAGGGAGTGTTAATTACACTTGGATTTCTGTTGCCTACTTTTAAAATTTTTTAGACTTTCTGTATGGTCCAGTGCAATCATATTTCATATGTGCTTGACTAGAATGTGAAATGTTTCATGATCAGAATTTTACGTATGTTAGATACACCTTGTCGGTTAAGCTTGTTAATTGTGTTCGTTAAATTTTCTAAATCTTTACTGCTTCTTTTACATCGTTCATTTAGTAATTGAGAGTTACACTGAAATGTCCTACTATAAAATTGTGAGGTTTTTCCTTGTAGATCTCTCAAATTTATGTATACATAAGGAGAATATAGAAGTGTAATAAATTGAATTGAAAATGGCAGAAATAAGACAAAACTCATTAATTATCCACATATACGTAAAGGGCCTAACTGGTTAAGCAAAACTCTAGACAAATTGAATTTAAGAAATATGTCAATATATTTATTTATATACATACACATATATAATGTATATTTTACATGGAAATTTTATGTATAGATACTTACATTTATATATAAATTTGAGTGTATGTGTGTATATGAAGAGAAATATACTACCTAATGCTATAAATATAATTTTATATTGTAAGATATAAGTTACTTTATAAAATATAATATATAACATATATAGCATTCTGAAGGAATATCAAGTGTTAAAAATAATATATATTTACTATTTGCAGGTAAATACACAATCAAAACTATTTTAACTCCCTTGGGGTGAACCTACTATCATTGTGCTGTGCTCTGATACTTTTTGTCTTCAGGTCTATTTAAAACTGCACTAATATAAATGAAGTGGTTACTTTTACTTACTTTTTGTGTGATAAAATATTTTTCTTTTGTATTTCCACCTTTAAGTGATCTTTTGTTAACAATATATTGGCTGATTTCTTAAATCCAGTTTGGCTAAAGTTGTCACTTAACTGGTTAGGTCTTTTATGTATATGCTGATTATTAATGTGTTTTGTTTCTACTATCTTCCTTTCAATGTATGACACTCCCATATTCTCCTTTCTCATATATCTGTTTACTTATAGTCCTTCATACCCTTTAAGACAAACACGTTGGTGAGCTGTCATGTTCTTTTTCTTCCCTCCCTCCACCATGTTGATGTACTTCCTGGTTCTCTTCTCTTCAATCAGGCTTTGTTTATTTTTAAGACATGGGGACACCTAATCAAATTCAATTTTCACTCTTACTTTTGGCTTGCAGTATTTCTTGACTTTGTATTATTTTTTTATTGAATATTACTTCCAGTAGATGTTTCTGTATGGGTCTTTGTCTTGCAAAATTACTGAGGCCTTGAATATCAGGGAATAGTTTTTGAGGCCCTGATGTTTAAATAGCATTTTGGCTAGATTAAAAATTCTCCTTTCAAAATTATTTCTTCCCTCAAGGTAGGTTGACAACCTCTTCTGATAGCCTTGGGCTAAATATGTTTTGAAATTCAGAATCTGGAGGCTCCAGAAAGAGGTTAATACATCTACTTAAAATACTACATTACTAGAAGCCCTGGTAGGATCTGGATCATCACTCTCAAATGCAGTATAATTTTGGTAACAAAACATATGAATGTTGAAATTTAAGTGGAATGAATAAAGATTATGCATAGCATCCTACTAACTCACATCTGGTTTAATTTTGCAAATAAATTGTGTTGTCAGACATGCACAAAAAATAAAAATTTTATTTAAGAAATTTTCATTTTTGAAATAGATATGGAATTTTCGACCAGTAGTATAGTAAAATTACTCAATTGTCCCTCTGTAGGCAGTTTTGCTATTGAGAATTAGTTTCAAATTGATCCTTGAATCTTTATAGTTGACCTGCTCTTTATTTCTGGATGCTTTCAGAATTTTTACTTTGTTTTTAATATTCTCACTAGAATGTGTCTGTGTGTGGATTCATCCTTCACTCTATGGGCCTGACCAACCCAAGGACACTCATGTTCTCTCAAGAACATGAGGAACAATTCACAGCCCTAGGAATCTGTACATCCCAATTATACAAAAAGTACATAACGCACGGTCCCTAAACTAAAAGAAATGTGAATTTAAACAGAAAATTAGGATCCATAACAGGCACTGAGTGCCATCAAGGAAGTGCAGAAGGTGCTAAGGGGCCCAGAGGAGTGAAACTCAGTTCGAAATGGGGACTCTGGAGATTTCCAAAGACAAAGCCTCAGTTGAGTATGGAAGGCTGTAAGAAGGTAGTCAGAGGAAGAAAGGTGCGAAAGGCTTTCTAGGCAGCAAGAAGGGAATTAGTAAAGTCATGGAACATGAAAAGGCAAGGTGTGTTGTATATTTCTGGAGCGTAAGGCATAAGAAATACAAAAGTAGCTAAAGTAAAAAAGATACAGATTATTCAAGGCCTTCCAAGCCATGCTAAGGAGAAGACATTTTTCAAAAAGAAAATGGGGAATTATTGGAAGATTTGAAGTGAGATAGAATTGTGGCTTTGTAGAGAGATATCTAGCTCTATGCAAAGAACTTATTAAAAAAATTAAGCTGGAAGGAGAAAAATCAGGCAACTATAGAAATAATTCCAGTCACTAAATACTATGATCCTGTACTAGGGAGCGGGTAGAAGTCCAAGAAAGAGATGGTGATATGAGCAGTTGGGACACAGAGAACATGGTCCAAGCTCCAGGGAGGGATGATGCTAATTAGAGGTGACTAAGGAAGAGCCAAGTGGACCAGGGCAGGTACCCAGCATGGTACTGTAGTGCTGTGGAAGAAGGATATTCACATAAGGTGAGAGGCTGCAGCCCCTTTTCCATTTTACACATAGGTCACTTCAGCCACAGTGGGTGTCGGAAGAGTCAGGAACCAACAGGCAGACATTCACAGATAGATTGTAACTGCAAAAAATGATGGCAGGAGGAACCAGGGACTTTGACACTACGCGGTCCATAGTCTACACAATTGCCTGTTTCCAGACATTTTTCTACCACACTCACCTCCAACCCAACTCAACTATCATCAGTCAAAGGGCAGAATTTTTTAGAAGTTCCAAATCAGGCAGTGCACAACCCATTTTCCCTGATAACATCTGGTAATTAAGTCCCTCTTTGTCACACACACCCGTGGACAACACCTTCACATGGACAACTCACTCACACAGACATTGATAGTCTTTTAAATTGTCTGTGTAAATGTGCAACACTGTGTGTTATATTTCTCTTGTAGGTCATCCATAACTTGAGAAATGGAGAATGAATGCAAGAAAATTGTTCTGCTTAAAGGATTGGAGCCCATCAGTGATTATCATTTCAGCGTGGTTAAGTCTTTATTGGCCAGTGATTTACAACTGACTAGAAAAACTCAAAATAAATATAATAAAATTCAGATTGCTGACTTGATGGCAGAAAAGTTCCGAGGGGCTGCCAGTGTTGAGAAACTAATAGAATTATACAAAGACATAGAAGAACTTAAAGATCGTGCCAAAATTCTTAAAAATGAGATATCAAAAGGTAATGCATGAGAATCCCTCGCACTCTCTGCACCATCCTCAATATGGACTAGAACCTAGACTTGTAGTTAACACATCCCTTTCCCAGTTTAGGACTCAGTAGCCATGGCACTGTTAGTCCTGCAGAGGTCAAGTTGACAGCTTAGGGCATCACCTTTACTACAAAGAGGTCTAATGCATTTCAGAGGGTATATTTTGGGGGTAAAGGTGAAGCGATAAAGCAGAAGGAGTTGAGGAGAAAGGCTGAGGCTTTCAGTGCATTAGAAGGGTTAGAAAATGACAAAAAAACTTTTAAAAAATGTGAGTTTTAAAAATATTTACATCAATTAAAATATATGCTCTATTAAAATATTTACTCCACCATTATTAGTAACAAATATGAGGCAGTACTTAAATAAAAACCTACCTCTCAGAGATGTGAAGAACTTGTCTCTTATAAAACCACAGGATTATAAAAACGTATTTTAAAAATTCCAAGTCCGGCATCACCACTTTGTCACCTCACTAATTACATCATATTTCCTTTCTCTGGTTTCAGCAATTGAAACAGATCTTTTACAGAAGATGACTCACCATCAGCCGCATGAAAACTTTAGATTCTTAAAAGGAAAGTGTAGGATAAGTGTTTGGAAAAGGGTTTGACTGAGGTACATAGGAGTCCAGAGGACAGGACGGGTGTGCTCATTGCACATGGGATGAGAAAGGAACCATTAAGGAAGCATGAGACAGTGCTCGTCCCTCTGTTATCTCTACTGGCCACCTGTGCCCAGCCTGGTTAATGCAGTACAGGCAGACACAAGCATACCTAGGCCCACAAGCAGGAGCTGAGAGGAAATTGTATTGAAAGGGCTTCAGCTGTCTTAGACCAGCTCCTTTGGATTTATTGTTTTCTCTTTTACTGCATCAGTTCTAATGAGATGGAAAGCAAGAGGAACAACCCCAGTGAAAAAAAGCAAGCAGGATAAACCCAGTACTGACGAATCTACAACCACCACAAACAAAGGTTTTGGACCTGAATCAATCAATGATATGCCTATGTTGAAGGTAGGATGGCCAAGGTCCCACTGAAGAGGTTTCTTCTATGGCTCTTCCATTTATTACCTTCCTATGAACACTTAGTTCTTTATTCATTTCTCAACATGAAAATAGAAGAGTCAGAGAAAAAGAGATTCCAGGGGCAGAGTGAAAATGAGGTTCAGAGTGAAAATGAGGTTCATTAATAGTTCCTGGTCACCCATTATGTTTCAGAAATACTCTGCACTTTACTTTATGTAATATACTTCCCCAAGATGAAATATGAAATCCTGACCCCTCTTTTAGATATGAACTAAAATGGCAATCAGATTAGGTAAACAGCTTCCCAAAGGCTACTCAGAGAGGCTAAATTCAAACTTAGATTTCCTAAATCTGAGTTCACTGCTCCTGTCATCACCACAGAGGTGAGTAAAGGAGTGACAGGTATAAAATCTACCCCACCATTTATATGAAGCAATCATATATGTGCACTGCTTACCTTCTGGCTACTTCTTCAGAATATGGACTGTATGTAGCTCCCTGGAGTTCTCAAAGACATAAATTTTAGTATATTAGAGCCTAGTAATGAAAAGCTGATAGGTTTAGTGGTAGAAATGTGTTTCATCTAATGTTGAAAACAATCAGGAAAAAAAAATCTACTTTCAGAAAAAGAAAAACAAAACCACAAAAACTGATGAATCTAATTTGCAGCTACCCTGGGAACAGAGTCAGCTTGCAGAACCTTCGGTAACCAGCACACAGTCAGCTGAGAGCCTTCCCCAGACTCCTCAGATGCCTCCACCAGCCCCGTCCAGCAGTTCATCAACCAAGGTACCATCTTCCCATTCCCAATATTTGTCCCTCCTTACAACATATTACAGAGATCATCATGACCTTGAAAGAGCTTCTCAGTAATCCCTCATTAGATACGATTTCTTTACATTGTAAAATGAGTCGTTAATTTATCAATAAAGATATCGATATCTCAGTGCATTATAAGTCCATTGCTTCTGCAAGGTGTGAGTTTACGAAATAATTCTTGATCTCAAGAGGGTTACTGTCTTGTGTTGGTCCAGAAAGAGGGTATATCCTGTTTAAAATAGAAAGACAAAAAAGAGTTACATGTTGTGTTCTGTGTGATTTTGAAAATTATTATCCAGGGTGGCCAGACAACTATAGATGAAAATACATTATGTTTATCCCCTACATTCTTATTTCCTTTCATCCTTTCTCCTTACCCATACCTCTGGATTAATTTTCAGTATTTTACGTTCCTTCACATGTCAGGAGTTTTGGCATATGCTGTTTCCATGATTTGGAATTCATTATTCCTGTCTCTTCACTGGCCCAAATATATTCCACCTTCAGGTGCCAGACTGAATCCCTTCCTCAGACAAGTCCTCACTGATACTCACACTCCCAAAAAGAGATCAGATATTCACATTGTTTGCCTTCACATGGCCCTTTACTATTCCTTTGTAGTACTTATCACAACTATAATAAATCTACATCTTTCTTCTCTACTAGACTATAAGCTCAGATTATAGGTACCCTTTCCCAGGAGAAGACGAGACAGGGGTGGGAGAAAGTGAGTACATATCTCATGCATCAACTCCTATCCCAACCTGCCTTTTGTTTTGCCCTGTGGTTGCATGCCACACTGCACAATGAAGCTTGTATCTGAGGTGAATGGGCAGGGAAGGATTGCCCCAAGACAACTTAAAGGGTAGGCAAGAGCAGAATTTAAATCGCTATTCTCTAATACAGTTTCTCAACCAAGATCCATGCTGCCCTCAGGGTACCTCCCCACCACCACCCCACACACACCACTTGAAGAAAAACTTCCTTTATAAAGGGACTCTCAATTTTTGGTTTTGTTTTCTTGTTGTTAGTTCCAAGAACCCACATTTCTACTGATAATCTCTCCCAAAAGATCAGAGAGATGGATTTCTAGGAGCCTGAAGAGCAGATGTCAGGAAGCTATTTGTATATTTGCTTGATGAGAAAGTCATATTTAATAACCATCTATAAGCACAATCAACATTGTGCTGAGATTAGCGTCCGTTATAACCTGGGAAGGTTACTTACCAAAACAATAACCCTTAGAGTTATGCATGACCAAGTTGGCTTAGGCCAGTGTACTGCAGATGTAGAATCTGGATTCCATCCCAAACCAATGAAATTTCGTCTGAGCTTTTAATATTTGCAGAGTGAAATTTGTAATCCTTATTGAGGTGGGAGAGAGTAGGTAGTACAGGTATCTGAATGTGTGCCATTATTCCAGAGAAAATTGATAAGTTAATATCCTGTTTAAAATAGAAAGACAAAAAAGAGTTACATGTTGTGTTCTGTGTGATTTTGAAAATTATTATCCAGAAATAGGGAAAAACATCTAATTTTCTCCAGAAAAGGAATGACATAACCACCAAAACTAATAACACAAAAATGAAGATGCTATCCCAAGAACAGAGTGGGCTTCCAGAAACCTCAGAAACAAGTTCATGCCCAACTGAGAGCTGTCCCCAAATTCTCATATGCTTCCACCAGCCCCATCCAGGAGTTCCTCAACCAAGGTACCCACTTCCTGTTCCCATTCCTTGTACCTCCATACAATGTAAGTACAAGGATTATCATAATCTTGGAAGAGCTTCCCATCTAACCTCCCACAATATACAATTCAATTATTAAATATAATCACTCATTCATTTATCAGTGTATAAATTGAGATCCTACTAGATTCTAATTCCTTTGCTATTTACAAGGCACATGTTTATGAAATAATCTTTGATTTTAAGAGGGTTGCTCTCTTGGGTTGAGTAGAGATAGAGGGGGAAGGTGACGAGGCAAGCAGAGATGAATGTGACTGTGTTCATCCCCTTCTTTCCATTCTTCCTCTTCCCCTTTGTTCACTGACCATACTACAGGATTTATTTTCAAAATTTCTTGCTCCAACCCATGTCAGATGTGACACATACTCGTTTTTTGTTTGGTATCATTCGTCCTGGTTGACCACTGGTTCAAGTGTCTTCAACCTTCAGGTGCAAACCTGAATCTCTGCCTCAGGCAAGTCCACATTAATACCCACCACCCAGAATACGTTAGATATTCCCATTGTTTGCTTTCACTGTTCCCTTTATTTTTCCATTTTAGCATTTATCACCACTGTAAGAAGTGTACTTTTTTCTTCCTTACTAGACAATAACCTCAGATTATAGGTACCATTTCCCTGGGAAAGACAAGACCGAGGTGGAAGTGTGAGTGCACACATCCATGCATCAACTTCTTTCCTAGAATGTCTTTTGTTCTGCCTGGTATAACCCCTGTGGTTACCTGCACAAAGGAGTACAATGCCTATTTCTGCAGTGAATAGGTAGGCAACTTGAGGAATAGGCAAAAGCAGCATTTAAATCATGATTCTCTAATATAGTTTAGCACCCAACCCAAGAGCTACTCTCTGACCCAGGCTGAAAGCCTCCAACACCATCCCACAGATGGCAGTTGAAGCCAGACTTCCTATAGGCAAGATTTCTCAAGTTTTGTTTTGTTATTATTGTTATTACTGTTAGCTTCAATAATTCATAATTCCCTCTATAGTCTCTCCGGTTTTTATTTGTGGGACAGAGGTAGCAATCTTTGTTGCCTCTAGGCCCAGGTGGCCATTGTCTAGGCATTGAAACTTAAGGTCCACTGTCTCTCTGCTATGACAATGACATATGTGGACATCTCAAGAGAACTCTCTTTCTGTGCATATAGGCTTGGAAGTGACACTTTCTAAGGTCCCATCTGCCTAAATACGTGACATAGTCATTTCTACTCCCATAAAAATCATTATGGCTTCCTTGAAACATCCTTCAAGCATTAGAATCTCAGGGAGGCTCATCTGTGTCCTCAGCCTCATACACCTAAACACACCATATAGTCATTTCTTCTTGGGGTTTAGCCACCTCCATAGGAAGCCTGCAAAAAGGGTGTCTGACCATTCCATGATTCATCAAATGAGCAGGAAAGCCTTGTCCTTATTCATCATGGAGTCTCCTAACTATTTTCTCTATAATATGCACTCTGTTTGCTTTTAGGATTCAAAACCAGGAGGAGACTAATATTATCTTCGATTCCTCCTGCTTGTTTCCTACAAAGTAAATAGTACAGAATGGCATGTTCAAGAACAGGAAGGGGTGATGAAGGATATAATCTGAAGGAAAAAATTCAATTACCATTTTTAAACATTATCCAACCAAATAGTATATTTTAGGCATCTAAATCCTACTTTCATGATGGAAGCTGTTGGTTTAACTAATTTTGAAAGATGCTCAAGGTGCTTTTGTCAATGAAATTAAATTACTACATGTGTAAAACATCTGTAGAGGAGGACGAAATATTCCTCTACCCTTCTAGGTTCTTCTGGCTGGTCTAAGAATTAAATTGACATGAGACAGAATAACAGGCGAAAATCAAGCAACTTTAACAACATGTATGCATGGGATAAACCCCGGAAAACTGAGTGACTCACTAAAATGGCCAAAGCCATCACCTTAAATACCATCTTCAGCTAAAGCCAATAGAGGATTTTCAGGGTAGTAGTTTGGGACTTCAAAGGTGAGGAAGGTAATTCACATGAAGATGGAAAAGCAAATGTTCGGTTAACAAATGTTTGCCATGCCTTGCAAAGACAATGAGACAAGGAGAGGACTTTGATCAAACGGGCCTTTCTAGGTTCCTCTCCACTACCACAATAGTCATCTATAGTATTAGTTCCTTCTGAAACTGGTCTTCTATCTTAAATGCTTTTACACGATTGGGGGGAAGAACAAAGTTTCTTCCTGAGTCTTTTGTTCCTAAAAATAACCAAGCCAAAGAGACTCATTTTGAGGTAACAAATTCTGTACCCTTACATGTCTATGGATCAGAGCATAAATACAAACCCCTGCATTGACCGTGAAATAATAATAACAATCTTGATACTTCAATATAGTGAGCATTTAGTGGTGCTGGACTCTAAAACCTGTGATCTTTGTGTACATTATGTCATTTATTCCTTACAATACCACATGAGGGTGCTGTTGTTAGTCCCATTTCACATAAGAGAAAACTGAAGATCATAGAGGTTAAAAATGTTTTCCAAGATCACACAGAGAGTGAATTGTAGAGCCAGGATTCAAATCCAGCCTTTGAACTCTACAATTTGAGCATTTAGTGGCATATAATTATTCCAGAGTCAGAATACAGATTTTACCGTATCTGGAATTTATTTTTAAAAATTTATCATTAGACAGTGTTATGTCTTGGGTTTGTCTCCATAACCTAGGCTCTGTAAGCCTTCTAATGAGGAATGAGGTGCCAGGGTGGTCAGAGAGTGTCCTAATCAGAAAGCTGCATGACAGAGGGAGGTATTTCAAGCAGCTTCCTCATCTACAGCTTTATCAACAAGTGACACTTTATGAATTAGAAAAATAAATGCTAGAAGAGGTAAGGACTGTGATAAATTTATATTGGATTAGAACACTAGAAATGGGCTTTCCTTAGTGAACTCGAAGATACACAAGAGACACTTGTGGCTCTTGCTTAAGCAATTATAAAAACCCAGGTACTGGGGATGCCTGGGTGAAATCTTGAATGGGTCTGTTTCTGGTTGAGAACTCAGAAGGATTTGGTTGCCTGATGACTACATAGAGAGCAGAATCCCACCTCTAGAATTATGAATTTGAGGGAATTTCTCTAGTACGGTGATAAACAAAGCTTTCAGACAGTTGGAGACTTGGTTCCCTTGACCTGGAGAACAGATGATAGAAACTGATTTGGTTATTTGGTAAATATACAAGGTAGTAAAAGACTTTTAGTTAATAAAACATCCATAGGTGCAGCTGATGCTGTTCTGAGACTTGCTTCCATTATAAGCCTGGTAGGATTTTCTACCAATACATAACTCCAAGTGTTATCTTGATGAAGTTGACATAGGGCTGTTTGCAGTAGAGGTAAAGCCAGAATTCCATAACAGACTAATGAAAGTTCAATCACCTGAGGTTTTAACATTTGCAGAGTGAAGTTAGTAATCCTGACTGGGTTCCAAGCTGGGAAGGTGTTGGGGATATCTGAAGATGTGCAATTATTCCAGACAAAATTGTAGGAGTGAAGATCCTCTCCTATGTCTCTGTGTGTGTGTGTGTGCGTGTGTGTGAGAGACAGACAGACAGGCAGAGAGACAGAAAGAGACCATGAGTAGGAGAATGTTGTGGTTCACTTGATATTGAAAATCATTAATCAGGGAAAAAAATATATATATTTTGCTTCAGAAAAGGAAACACATCACCAATAAAACTGAGGAATCCAAGAGAATGAAACTATTCCAAGAGCAGAGTCAGCTTCCAGAATCTTCAACAACCAGCACATGCCCAACTGAGGGCTGTCTCCAAACTCCTCAGAAGCCACCATCAACCCCATCCAGCAGTTCCTTAACCAAGGTACCAGCTTCCTGTTTCCAATATCTCCACTCCCTGCAATATAATGACAGGGATCAGTAGAACCATGAAAGAGCTTCTCACTAATCCCCTACTATATACAATTCTTTCTTTAATTAAATCACACAATTTTTGTTAAATATATATTTTGAGATGAGATTGTACCCTATATGTGAACTCCAACTCTTATTAGGCACCATCCTTTGTATTAGGATAATCTATTACCCAGTGGGTACCTAATCATCCCTAGTCTCTACTGGGTATAATTAGCCCTTTATTCGTTTAATTTTATTTTTGTATTTCTCTCAATACACAGTGAAAGATGCAGCTCAGGGTGGAATAGGGTGGAGAAATACAGAGCCAGCCAAAGCAATATCACCAATTCTTACTCTTTCATATTTTTTTGCTGAGGAAGATTCGCCCTGAGCTAACATCTGTGCCAATCTTCCTCTGTTTTGTATGTGAGCCACCATAGCGTGGGCACCTACAAACGGTGTAGATCCATGCCTGGGAACCAAACCTGGGCTGACGAAGCAGAACACACCAGACTTACCCACTAAGTCATGGGCCGGCACCCCTCTTTCATTTTTCATTTCATAAATAATATCATCTTAGAAAATTTAGGATGTGTAGATGCATAGAAAAAGTAATTAAATTTTAACTTTTTGAAATCTCTCCTCTATCAAATGCTACATTTTGGTAAATACTCTTTCTGATTTTACCTTTTCTTATTTATATACAAAGAATATCATTCTGTCCCAATTTGGATCACATTACACACATTTTTCTATAGCTGTGAGCCTCTATCCAGGACATTTTCAAATTAGGGAAGGTCATGGGATACTTCCAGTGAGTGTTTTACTAACACTTTCCCAACACAGCACTGCTTTTTTGGAAAGGGGTTTTGTGATTTGGGTCTTTAAATTGTCACCTCGACCGGGATCATTTTCAGATGAAATCAATGGTTTCTGACTGGAGGGAAGCATTCTTCACTCTCAGTGATACTAAGGATGACTTATTTTCCTCCCCATTTATATCTTACTTTGCTCACTAAAATGAGTTGATGGGATAAATTAAGATTGTTTTTCATCTGCATCTCTATTAGGATTCACTACACAATGGCATTGCTATTGCACACTGCCCCTGTACTCTACATAGCTCTTCCTAGGAGAAATACTTTTTTTCTTGGGTTAAATCTTTTTGAAGATAAATATTCTTCCTTGCAAACTTATACAAAATGAAGAAAAGAAATAATATTGCTGTTTAAATCTTCTCCATTTCTTCTATCAGCTAAGTTATGCCATGTCAGCCATATTTGTCTAGTTTTTTTACAAGTTCATCCAATTAGGGTGTTCCTTGAGGCTCAACATTGAGCCTGAGAAGGTTCTCACTAGAGAGTATTTCTGTATTCCCTTTCTAAATGGTTTCCGGTTTTGGTGTGTACGTTTAAGTAGAAACCAAGATTGAAGGCTGTACCTAAAGAAGCTTCCAAAGAGGAGAATTTCCAGAGGGGCCCCAAAGAAGTGATGGTACTGAAAGCCACAGAACCATTTACATATGCCGTCAGCGAAGGGGAGAGAAAGATGTTTCATGCCACAGTGGCTACTGAGAGCGAATTCTTCCAAGTGAAGGTGTTTGATGTCAGCTTGAAGGAGAAGTTCATCCCAAAGAAAGTCATTGCCATATCAGATTATATTGGCCGCAGTGGGTTCCTGGAGGTCTACAATGTCTCACGTGTGTCTGATGTTAATGCTGACCGAAAGATGGAGGTCTCAAAGCGACTCATTACAAATGCTACTTCAACTCCTAAAATCATTCATCTGTACTCGCAAGCTCCAGGAACATTTGTGAATGGAGTGTATCAGGTGCATAAGGTAAGCCCACACCATTATTTTGTAATATTTCTTCTGCAGGCCCAGAATTTAAAAGCCTTAACTTGCCATTTGGAGCTTGATTAATGTGCCAAACATGGAAATTTAGGACATTCCTGTCCAGGGATTGTTAGGTGGAGTCCTCTCATTTCAGCATATGGGAGAGAGAATCTCTGAACATTCCTTTTCCCACCATGACAACTTGCAAGTTCTTTGGAAAGAGATTCCCCAGAAACCTTGGCATTTTATCAGCTATGATTGTCCGTTGATAGTCAACCTGCTCCAGGACAGTGCAGACTTTATATCAATAGACAAATCCTTATGATTTTGTTTCTTTCAGTTCTGCCTCATCTGTTTCAGTGACAGCTTGACTTACTTGTGAATAAAGAATTGCCCTCTCAAGCTTGAATTCCGGTTGTGACAACCAGACTAAGAAGTCAATAGACTACTGTGCCCTAGAATGCTGCTGTTTCCAACAAATAGCTAAAGTGCTCTTACCTCTTCACATTCATTCATCAAAAAATTGTTGAGCAAGGGGTCCACCTAGTGGCGCAGTGGTTAAGTTTGCGCACTGTACTTCAGCGGCCAGGGGTTTCCAGATCAGAATCCCTGGCAGGGATCTATGCACCACTTATCAAGCCATGCTGTGGTGGATATCCCACATATAAAGTAGAAGAAGATGGACATGGATGCTAGCCCAGGGCCAATCTTCCTCAGCAAAAAGAGGAGGATTGACAAAAGATGTTAGCTCAGGGCTAATCTTCCTCACCAAATATATATATATATTTGAAAAAATTCTTGAGCAATTGAATTTGGCATTAACTAATAAGAAATATGGATATAGAAGAGAACAGAGCAATCAATTTAATGTAAATTTATAAATATGGACAATGAAAAAAGAATATTGATGAATTCTAAGAATTAGGGTTATATTTCAGTCTAAACATAGGAAATCTAAGCTTAGCTGACGGAAATTTTTATATGAAGTATTGTTTCATACTCGCTTGTATATGTCTTCTAGGGTGGCTCTTTATCCCTGTTGTTTTCTGCACACTCTGTTTAAATGGCTGTGCACACCTATGCATTTGTAGAATTAGTGAATAAAGTAAATGAGATAGAAACTAGAATCATGGGACTAGATAATCTAGATTCAAGATTTGGGCCTGTTGGAAAAGAATGAATAAATGCAGAAGATAGAAGAAAGTATTACATATTGATATAGCAATCTACTGAATGAAGACTTGCAACAATCTTTCTCACACTGATAATGAAGCATGAAAGGGCTTTCTTCTCTGTTCTCAGGCACCAAAGAAACCTGTATAGGTTATCATATCTGACTGTATTCAAGTTCCTTAAGAAATATCAGCTATTCTGAGATGGAAGCAGGAAAAATTAGGAAGTAATGAATTTTTTTAGAAGAACCAGGCAAATAAAGACGTAAAAGAAGGAAAGGTAGACACAAGATTCAAAAGGGGGAATTTTCTGGACGAGATGTCTTAAGCTATTTGGTACCTGTAATACTGGACTTACAGCTCATATTAACCTGTCAGAGACAAAAGTTTCCACTAATCCCTGTATTTCTCACAGATATGGAAACCTGATCCAGTTCTCAAAAGATGGATGCTAATTTTCTTTTGCAGAAAAGAATGTGGAATAATTTCCTATATTACGAAATACAAGATAATACGGGGAAGATGGAAGTCGTGGTGTATGGACGACTGGCCAAAATCAACTGCGAGGAAGGAGATAAACTTAACCTCATCTGCTTTGAATTGGCATTAGGTGAGAGTAAGAGGCAGCTGAGATCTGTAATTCACAGTTTCATCAAGGTAAGAACTCCTGGGTAACATCATTCTTCTAAAGTAGAATTTAAAAAAAATCTAGACTGCTGCTATTATACAGACAATCCACCGGGGCTAAAAGAACCAATCCTTGCCCTTTTGAATATAAACTTTCTTTTCATCATTCTTTTTTTAATAAAGAAGCATATCTTTCATCATATTGAAGAGAGAAACTTCAGAGAGGCATTCAAAAGATATGATACTTAAGCTAAATATTATAGAATTGGTTGATGCTATCAAAACGGAGATTATTTAGTAAATTTGGGCTTCATTAAGGCAGATTTGTTTCAAATACTGGTCCTGTGATTTGCTGATTGGCTAATGAACTTAAACACTAGGAATCTCAGGTTCATCATCTATTAAATGGGGGAAATATCTTCCTTCTCAGAGGATGGTTAGCAGAGCTCCTACCAGATTACATGATCAAGGTTGCCCTTGAGCATCTCAGAACACAAAGTTACCTGCCTTTAGTGAGATAACTGCGTTTAGTGTTTGTTGCTGTTGGTCAACAACAAACAGAGGTGGTTGCTTCTACATGACAAAGTCCATACTACGTGTCACACACAGAAACATGCTCACACTCACCCTCACACACACACAGACTTGTATGGGATTCTTGGGACGCTAACAAAGGCTAATACTGGAATGCAAACAGATCAGAGGCAAAGGCTGACATATCCAGGTACTCAGAAATGCACTTGCTCTGGGATCTTTCCAACTCTCAGGACCATCAATGAAACATTCCAACCCTTCCCTCACACCAGTGCACCAGGAATGCCTTTTGT